AAACAATTTCGATGGGAAAAGCAGACAATGATCGATTAAAATTTTAAGATTTGATTAATTAATGTCGAGAATTTTTCGGTAAATAAACCATTTATTTAATCGATATATTTAATCGATTTCGATAACTTATTTAGTGAATTTTTTGGTAAATTTCCCAAGATAACTTAGACGTAGATTCCTCCGTTTGCTAGTATTTTCGGTTTCCATTCCATTCCTTCAAGTATATACCCATATAATATCTAGCAACCAATCCTTTATTCCATCCATTATTTATTATTTAAGCCATGCCTCAAACACGGGTTGAAACCCTCGTTCGCTAATTACACAACAACATCATTCATTCGTCTGTCCTCTCTGTTTGTCTGTTCCAGCAATTATCTGATCAGACACAACCATCCATCCAGCCATCCATCCATCTACCATTTTCATACCTATCCATCCAGCCATCCATTCCACTAATTCGAATCGAAAGGCACGTGTGGCATAGTGTTTTTCCACTTAGCACTCGCACTCCAATCCGGATTTCATTAGTCGATTTAACATTTGTTTTTCATCATTCTACCCACAATGGTATTTAGCAGGGAAATGTTAATTTCATAGCGAAATATTTTCACATGATAATAGATATTTTGCGAGCGTCGCTTTGTTTGTGGCGTCTGTTTTCGGGGTCAGAGATGGTTGAGGGAATGGCTGCTGGCCTTTGGTCAAGTCAAAGGTCCCTCGTCTCATTAGGAAAGGTTTCAACCCCAAAAAGTAGGCAATGAAAATGTGATACAGTGCGATACAGGTATGGCAATATGTAGGGAAAAAAGTACAACTAACTGTATTTCAAGCGAATTTATTGTTACATTTGTGCAGGCTTTATTATAGAAAATAACTTTGTTCCAAGACTATATTTAATCGATTTAGATAAACTAGTACGAGAACGTTTTCAATATATTTTAAGAAGTGATTCAATAGGTGATTGTATCGACATCAAACAGACTTTAAGCTGGGACACTCACCTTATACACACACATACGTATTTATGGGCAAGGATATAAATATATCCTTTCCACATTTAGATAAACAGAGAGAGAATGGAAGGGACAATTTTCAGACCCATTCCCGAGACCCAAACCCGAGACCCAAGACCCAAGACCCAGACTTGGACCTAACTTGAGTCATTATTATATCATTTTGCTGTTGTTGTTGTTGTTGTCACACGCTTTTATGACATGTTGTGAAGGACAGACAAGGATCAGGGATCACAGGAAAAGGAGACCTGAAAAGCATTTATTTTCGGATTGGGGATACAAAAAAAAAATAAAGGACAAAAGTTCATAACTGTGACAAGGGGCCGCCCATCACCATCATCACCATCACCATTACCATTGGTCCTGGCAGTCGTCCTAGTCATCGTCAACGCCAAAGTCCAGTGCCAGTGCCAGTGCCAGTCCCAGTTCCATCGATAAGAAACGCAAAAACGAAAACAGGACAATGGAACAGGACAATGGGCCTTCAAGCTACGGCTGTAGCCACACGCACGCACACTCCTGTGTGTTCCATATCCGATTCGTCCTCGTCGGCGACATGCTTTTTCCTGTCTGTGCCTCCATTTTTATTTTATTTTTTTTTTGTATGTGTGCCTCTCCCCCTGCGCCCCTTTTTCTGCTGCTGCCTTCTGCGTCCCGGTTTCTCCTGCCATCTCCTGTCTCCGCCTGTCTTCTTCTTTTTCCTCCTGCCATCGCCAGCTGCCGCCTGTGTCTGCCTCCTGTCTCCTCCTTTCGTCCTGCCTGTCTGTGTGAGCTCGTTTCACTTTTGACTCTGTATTGGTGCGCGTGTCTGCCGCCTGGCGTCCGCCGCCTCTACTCCCCGCATCGGCCTGTCGAAAATGTTTTCCATTTCAGTTAGCAAATTATGTCGGCCAAAAGAGAGAGACAGCCACAGACTGTGTGAAGGAGAGTAGGGGAAAGGACAAAAAAAAAAGATATATAAATGAAAATTTCAGACGCGACGCAGTTGGTAATGAATGGAATGTGGCACGGAGTGGTGGCCAGAGGATTGGGGGTCTAGGGAGTGGCAGACATTGTTGGTTATACAATAGGACGAAGGACACATTGAAAAAATAGATTCTGCCTCCCGTACCCAGTCCGTGCCCCTCTTTGGCCTGCTTTTCTGCTGCTTCTGCTGCTGCTTCCTCTTGTTGTCTCGGACTCCTCGAACCATGTTCTGTTCATGCCGCTAACGCCACCCCGACCATGCCACTTGGGGCTTTTATGGGGTCTCGACACTGGCGACGCTTTCCACTTGAATTACGCGACCAGCGAGGCATACTATACTCCCAGAAGGCAGTAGGGGAGAGGTAAGTCGGGGAATTGGGGAACGGACAACATAAAGTTGCAAAATTGTTGCAAAAGAAAACACACACAAAGGAAAAGGACGAAAGACGAAACAGAACTAGAGCACAGGATAGGGAAAGGCCAAAAAGGGAGGCAAGTGGAGAGACGAAAGAAAATAGAGTAGTGGAGTGGAGTGTGGATTGTGGAGTGGTATGAAGGAGACCGGAAGAGGGAGCACCAAGCAATGGGAGATATTCGCCATTTTGAAAACTATGTACAGGAAAAAGCAAAAAAAATACTGAGGGGATATAAGTACTTTAAATACCCTTAATTATTATCATCTTTTTAGAAGAATATCGATCATATTCGATATTAAAGCGACTCCAAATCATCAATAGTTCGATAAATAATTTTATTCGATTTCGATAACTCATTGAGTTTTTCATATCACTCAAAATAATCGATTATAATCATCACTTAATCGAATATTATTCGATATCGATAAAAACTCTTTCTGTTAGTTTTTCTTACTGTCGAAGGAATTTTCTTGAGAAAACTATATGATGTGATTCGCTAATGATATTTGCGTTCGTGCTATCGATAGACATTCTGTGGCGGCAAGAAGACTGTTAGCAATGTTTCAGACTCAAAAACTGAGGTACTGGCTGGGATGCTTAAGTCTCTGGGGCACAAAGAGTTCCTCGTAAATGGCACTATCCTCGTTTAGAGGGTATATAAAAGCAGATTGAATGGCAGGACAACTGTGGAAAAATACTAACAAAAGAACGAAAAAAGAATACAAGCAGAAAATGGCTGCCGGCAATCGTTGTGTCATCGATAATAAAGATTAAAAGTGATATGGAAATGCGCTATGATAAAACCCACAGAGGGACAGAGAGAGAGGGGGGGAGAGACAGAGAGGGAGGGATGCAGGCCGAGCAGAGGGTGGGGCAAGTGGGTGGCAGAGGCAGTGGCAGTGGCAGTGGCAGAGGCAGTGGCAGTGGCAGATTGTTGTTCGGTTTTTGCCAGCTCTCGCATCGCAAGTGGTTGACTAACAAAAGAAACTGCAATGCCATTGTAAATAGTCGTCGGAGGGACACTCACACATACACACACACACACACTCATGAATACACTCATACAGCTTTTAGCTGCCTTCTGGTACAGTGGAGATCCTTCGAAAGAGTTGTGGAAACTAACGAAACAACAGCGCCCCTAAAGACGACCCACTTTCCAAATAATTCCCCCCCATCATTCCTCTACAGAGAGTGCTGACTGTATTAGCATTCCCCTCATTCGGATTCGCATTTGGATGTGGATGTGGATGTGGCTCCATTATGCCAGAGCCTCGTCAAGAGTCTGCTTCTCCATTTGCAGGATTGTACTACATATGGATATGGCACTCGTACTTGTACTCGTACTGGCGCTGGTACTGGTACTGGCACTGGTATGTGGGCGTGTGTGGTTCACCAAAGTGGTGCACAAAGTGCTGCCGGCGACCAGCAGAGAATGTGTGAGAAATGGAGAATCCTAAATACAGAGAAATACAGAGAGTGAATGGCAGGGAGAGAGAAAAGGTCTCACTCTGTGAGACTACGAATGCTGCTGGTTGTTGGCTGCGGGTTTTCTCATTTCAAACAAAACGACCTTCAACTCTTGCTGGCAGAAGAAAACCCCAGCAGCAAACCAGGAATCAGGTCATGTCCAAAGAGGGTGTGGGGACTACAAAACCAAAAATTGTAACTAACAAAACTATGTTGCCTGCTCTCTTGGCCAACTCAAACGCAGAATTCAGTTTGATTTTCGCTTTACAGTACTTTGAGGCATTATACATTATGCAACAAAAAAGCAACCGCAAACGAGAAGAGCAATGAAAGGATAAGAGCGAATTGTGAAAGAGAGAATGATTTCTCAAGTATTGTACTTATCCTCTGTTCTATTAGATCATGGAAATCAGGTTGATCGATTGATTTTCTTGGTTGAAACCACAACCGAAAGATCCATAGACCAAAGGAACAAAAGCCAAAGACTCCTCCTCCGAAACTCCTCGCCCAAATCGGTCGGGATCTATAGTATTTATTATACCCGGTACACGAAAACTTTAGGGATAGTCTGATTTTAAAAAAGAAATTTTGCATATTAATTCGCAAAGGAATCGGCTTGGGAAATTATTATTGTTCCCATTACATCCATAGAATTTAAACTTTTTGCACCGATTCTTCTTCAGATGATAGGTATAACGCATCACCCCTGCAGTGGTCGTACAGCCCCTTTCAATGCCATTTTGTTCCATTCTTAGAGCACACATCGCTGCATGGCACAAGATATATTGAGAATTGAGATCCATTGAGAATCGGAATTCCGTTCCCTCGTTATACTCACGATCTTTTATCCTATGTGGTGCAACTCCAGACAGACACACGACGACGCCTACGATTGAAATAAGCTTCATTCCCGATGGTGGATCGATGGTTGATCGATGGCATCTACCAGATTGTGTGGACCGACTAAACGGATTTTTAATCTATCAACTAAAGGAATGCGAATTTTTGTCCACAGAATACGATTAGTTCCGTGTAGGAACTTAAACCGGAACCAACCTGATTCTTACCAAATTCCAGAAGCAAAACCACCGTACCATGACCGAAAGAGCCTGTCTAGGCACTCAGGAAATACAAATATGATGGAATTATGCATTGTGGTTCGGAAACTCTCTTTTCAGGTCTTATTTTAAGCTCAGAACTACTGAGAGTGCTCTGACGCCATGATTCAAAAGAGAGAGAAAGGAACGAAACATTTGTGGCTTCTACTATTCCTTGCATTTAGCTTCGCACTCCTCTTTCGTTTTGAAATGATTCTCGTTCGTGATTCCACAGCTATACAACCATTTCTGGCACTCCTTCAAATTTGGATAATAGCTAAATCTTGGAAAAGCGGCTGCGCAGAACAAATCTCCGTAGCCATGCTGGGCCGGTTTTTGTCCACAAATTGCTGCAGGAGAGTGTTTTAGTTTTAGTGCAGATATGTATCAATCGAAATCTATTGCGATCTTTCGTTATACTCACGATCCTTGAGGGCCCGTGAAAGGCCAGACAGGGCCACGATGATGAAAACAACGAAAATTAACTTCATTTTCTTGGTGGTTTTGATGGACTGCACTGCTTCTTTCAGATGATGCGGAGCGACTAATGTTATTTCTAATATAAAGTTCTTATAAAAGGTGGAGTCAGAATTAGTTCTGGAAAGGGAATTAAACCGAGACCAGAGCCCTTAACATCGATTTCATGCCAAATAAAGATCAAGGCCATAAAGGGTTGGAAATTAACTTCATTCTCGTTGTGGATAGTGGAGTGTTTCTGCCGGATATTATGGTTATAGGAAGTGTATGTGTATAAGGAAGTGCATTCAGTTCCACTGCATATCCTTTTATTGCTGAAGAATTCGTGTATATAGTTTTCGCAATGGTTTATTACATGCATTCGGCCTCGCATCCAATTAAGTTGAAGAAATTATTATCATTCTCACCACAACCGCCGTACAAAAAGCCCTTGCACTCGTTTGTATTGTTGTAATAGCTGAAACGTGGCTCAAAGTCGTAGCAAGTGGTATTTCCATCTGAGTTTTTGCCCGGTTCTTGAAAACAGATCGCTGCAAGAGACATCCATTCGATCATTCCAATATTCTCTTGGTTATACTCACGATTTTTTATCTTCGGTGGCTCAATGAAAGGCTCAACTCCAGACAAAGCTAAAATAATGCCTACAATGGAGATAAACTTCATTCTCATTGGCAACCTGTATCTTTCAGATTATTGGGGGCGACTACTAATGTGTAACAAAAGCTGTTAGAATTCCCCTACACAGAATAATTTCATTCGTTCTGTGAATGGAATCGAAGCATTAACTGAAACCATGACCGAAAGACAAAGACACGCCCAGCCTGTAAATCGGTGCCGTAAACGTGAAAGTTCAAAGCCAAAATGGACGAAGATGGAAATTCAAGGACTTTATCAAGGAAAACTTATTTTTTGGAACTATATTCTATATTAAACAATATTCCTATTCCACGCACATGTCCTCGCATTGCTTTTTAGTTCTAAAACGATTTCTGTTCCCGCCACATCCGCCGTATATGAACTCTCTGCACTCCTTCGTCTTGGGATCGTAGGTAAAATTTGGTATGCCGGCCAAACAAAAACCGGAGTATGCTGTTTCTTCATTACAGCTCGCTGTAAGACACATTCGTTGCAGATATATATATATATATCAATATAATAGTGACATCTTTCCATTCGCTCGTTCTACTCACGATCCTTTTGGGCCCGTGAAAGGCCAGACAGGAGCAAGATGATGCCTATACCGGATATGAACTTAATTTTCATTTCGGATTGATGGTCGGTGTCTACCAGATGATCTGAAGCGTCTGATCGGATCTTATTTAGGAAGTGGGGAATGTATTTCTGCATCTGATTTCATTAGTTCTGGTTCTGGTCTTTAGTTCTGCAACATTTCTGCTTTCTTTCCTGAGTTTGGGTGATTGGGGAAAATCGTGCAGAATTATGTTTTCAAGGGGAACACCTGAATAATATTTATTTAGCAATGGTATCGTAGATTCTTTTTGTTATCCTATAGTAGCTATTACTTTCATGTATGTATTTAACCAATGATATATTGAAGTAATATTCATGAAAAATCCAATTCGAAACGTTTGTCTAAGCATTTACGTTGATTTTCATAAAGATTTTCAATCAAATTTAAGATTTAGTTAAGGAAAAGTGTGTTTAAAACTTAATTCAAGTCAACATCCGTTGCAAAAGGCACTGTCACAAGAGGATAACAGCCACCCACTGCCTATCGGAGCCCACTATCCATTCACCATTCTCGATTTCCATGGCGGAAAATCATATTTCCGTTGTTGCTGCTGCTTCTGCTGCTGCTGTCATTTGACGTTGCATCTACCCTTCGCTATAGTATACATATATATATATATATGGCATGGATGCATCCCCCTGCCCTGCTGCATCCACATCATCATCATCTTCTTCATCATCATCATCATCATCATCGGATGGGTTATAATCGTCAACTGTCAGACTGCGTTTTGCGGTCGCTCGCAAATTGAATGTAGGTCGACCAAAAGCGAGCCAACGAGAGCAGCGTTGGCCCGACAGTCGCGTGACCGCAGAGAGCCATCGATCAGAGACCCAGTAACGAGCGCCAGTGCGAAAGGAGGGGCATGCAACCACAGAGAGCGAGAGGGGGAGGTGAAGAGTCGTAATGAATTGGCCGCCTCCATGTCTGACATGTCTGGCGGGGACAGGACCGGACAGCCCCGGCCTTTTGGGGGCAGCGTGTGTTGCGGTCAGTCAGTGTCATGAGCTTTTGACATGCACCACCCACCCGCGCTGCATGCCCCACTCTCAACCAATGGGTAGTGTCGTCACTGTCACTGTCTGCCGCCTACAGCCGCCTGTTGTCGTAGGCTGCTCTACTTTTTTCTAGCATAGTTTTGCATATGTCTATTTTTTTTTTGTGCTATATTTGCCTGTGGGCTTGAGGCGAGGATAACCTATATATCAGAGAAACTTCCTGTAGATAAGGAAATAGCTATAGAACAGATTTGCATTAGATTTTGGTTTAAAATGGAACTTTCTGGCATCTCTCATGGCCACTCTCTCGAATAATTCGAAATGCACTGCAAAAAATCATTTTCATGTACAACTTTTCAATGAAAAGCCCAATTAATATTATATCTTTTATTACATTTAATACATACAAAATCTATTAAATTACCTTAATTTTCCCAACTTTCCTTTGGTCAAAGTCGCTTTCACCTTTTCAAAGATTTTCCTTAACTTCTGTTGCATTTGTTAAAGATAAAGAGGGGAGATTCAAAGGTAGAGGAGATACATATATGTCTGATGTATGTACATATATATATAGAACATATTTTTCATTCCAAATGTTTCCTCCTTTCTCTGCTTTTTCCTACTTTGCTCCCCCTATGGTACATGCTGGCCCCAAAATGTATGCTATGTTTTTTGTGTGTGCCGCAGCTGCCGCCGCCCCCGCCCATGCCGCTGTCTCTGTCGTTACTTTCAGACACTCCTTTTTGCAGTTGTTCACACAAATACACCCGAAAACACACACACACGCAGCAAGATTCAGGCACACACACACAAGCATAGAGGCAAACACAGACAGAGGGCGACTAACTGATTTTTAGGTCGATGGCGTAAACGACAGAACGACCAACGAACGAACGAACGAACGAAGGAACGTCAGGCGTGGTCTGGTCGGAACCATAGCCAGAGCCAGCGCCAGCGCCAAAGTCCGGGTCGGATCGGTGGCGGTGTCGGGATTCCGGGTTTTTGGGTTGGGCGGAGTACGGGTCTGGGTCTCGTCTGGGGTTTTGGGCGGGTCTGGCACTCATCGTTAGCACACAGACAGCAGCAAAAGCAAATACATATACACATACAAACAAGAACACGCACACACACACACATATGTATATATGTATATATATACTCGTATATTCAGGCAGACATCATCGTCATCTCTGCTCTGCCGGCGTTTGTCCGCTGTTTTTCCTCGTTATGGTATCAGCGAGCTGTGCGGCACAGAACCATCCACCATGCCACACCCCACTGCTACAGACCCCCCACCATCCTCTAGAGAGCACCAGAGACCAGACCAGACCTAAACCAACATGAACATCGCTCTCGACGAAACGAAACGAAAACCAAACCAAACCAAAAACCCCACTCAGGGACCAGTTCTTCTTCTTCTATTTTCCTTTTTTTTGTTTTTTCAACGGTCTCCACAAATTTGGTTAGACATGAAGCAATTTTTACGTTCTTTTAGCGAAGGGTATAATGGTTTCGAAAAGGATCTTGGAACCTTAAAGGATAATCAGCAATGGTCGGTAGGGGTCGCCCAGAAATCGGCTTCCTATATACTTATTGATACTCGTATGGAGATATACGTAAAATCTGTCTTTACTTATTGTGGTAAAGAAATACTGCAAATAAAAGCCCTTTAATTGGATGTAATACGATTTCACAAAGAACAGAAAAATTAGATTAAAACGAGGGAAAAATATCATAGATCTTAGATAGCATCTTCCATAGGATCAATGGATTTGCTAAGGTAGTACCTACATATATCTAGATCTGTATAAATGATGGATCTTTTAAGAATATCAATGGGAATATGGACTTCTAGATGGTATCTATATAGATATATATATCGTATATTTTTAAGGATATCTAAATATTCGGTTCCCAACACACCATTCCTTTCTTTTATTTTTGCGCAATTTTAGCGCAATCTCTTTCTCTCTTACGCACACATACTCCTCTTTCACATATACAGTGTTCTCCCACTCTTTCGATCTCCCTTCCACCCCCCTCTCTAGTGTTTGCTTTGGCTGTCGCCAGATGGCGCCCGGCCCACTCTTTTGGGTTCCTTCTTTTTTTTGGTTTTTTTGGCGCGCACTTTTCAGGCTTCTTCTTTCTATATAGCAGAGAGGTTTTTCCTGTGTTAGTGTGTGTATGTATATGTACAGCTGGAGCAGTTTTTCATTCATTTCGTTACTGTCGAGCACAGCAGCCGCCGAGACAGCGGCAGCAGCGGCAGTGCCTGTGGATTTTTGGTTCGTTGAATTTTTGTTTTGTGCTGCTTTGAAGGGGCGGTGGAAGGGGCGAAGCTGGGTGGGATGGAGGAGGGTGTTTTGCTGTGGAGGTGGGGTGGGTGGCTTTTGGGGGGTTGTGGGGTGTTGCTGGTTTTTGGTGCTGCCGCTGCTGCTGCTTTTGGTCGTCCTCAATGTGGCCCGCATTGTGCGCAAAGGTTTTTTCCCCATCCTTTATTCCCATCCTTCGCTTTCTCTCTCTCTGTCGCTTCTCTTGGCTTTTTCTCCTCGTCCCAGCTGTTGTTTGGGGCTCGTGTGCTTTCCGCTTTTTCCTTTTTTTGTTCTTTCTGGTTTTTTTTATTCTTTTTCTTTCAATTTTTCTCTTTTTCCTTTTTTCAGTGTTTTTTTTTTACTATTTTTTCTTTCCTATTTTTTTTATATTTTTTGTTGTTGCTTTTGTCTGCTAGACGTGTTCCTCTTACGACTTTTTGTTTTTCTTTTCTTTGCTTACTCTTCTTTCGTTTT